GCCACATAACGAAACCAAGAAAAAAAAACCAAAAAAAAAAACGAGTAAAGTTCAGGGGGGCGTTACAACAGACCCGCGCGCATACTAAGTGTCACAGCTTGACACATACTATTGTATGTTGACGTTCCTGTCCGCCCCAAAATGATGCACATCTGCATACGCACGCTTATTTCAGCAACTCTATATGTATATATATATATGTACGCATGTATGTATGTATATACCTGCATCGGTATTTTTTAGAATTAGCGTCGACACAGCCTATCAACGCGTACAATTCAATTTTCTCGCCCGATATGCATTGCCATTCAACTTTGGAGAATGTCAGTGGACGTGTGTGCTAAGTGAGTCATTTAAAAAGCATCTAAACATACATACATATTTACGCACAAATGTTTACAGAGTACTTTGAAAATGTTGAAAAAATAAATTATTTAAAAAGTGATGCCAAATTTGCTTAGAGCTTTTCTGTTAAGGCGTCAGTTGGACGGTATAATAGTCTTAGGATTTTTTTTCTACTTTCTAGAAATAGTATTGATCTGAACAACTTTTATTTTCAATAAGACTGCCTTCTCACACAAGCAACGATCCCGTAGATCTTTTAAGGGGTTACATAAGCCACAAGAAAGTGCTTTCGCAGTAGTCATGCTAACTTTTTCAATTTTTATCTGAACTCAAAAATCCAATTTTTTTCTTAAAGTGATGAATTTTCCTTGTCCTTGAACGCACAAAAAATAAAAAATTGAATTATTTGTCGCGTTTTTTACAAAAAACGTCATTTTTCGCATAAAATTAATAATTAAAAAAATATAATTAATATGTTGAAAGTTTCGCCATCAATCAAGCCACTCTGTAATTTCTACAAATTCTTCTCGATCGACTTGAAACTTGGGGAAAATATTCCTGACACTTTGTACTTTTATACAAAAAATTATCAAAAAAATGAATTTTTTGATGTTTCAAGACCTATGTATGTAACCCCTTAAAGGAAAAGTTACCGGGCCGTGTGGTCATCTATTTCGATCTTCTGCTTTAACAGCTTGCAACTTCTTCCTTTGACTCCACGTGAAAGATAAGGCCTAGGCAAACATGAAATTCGTGAAGCTTTCGATTTAGTGATGAAAAATTTCATTAAAAGGATGAGTTCAGTTGATGCGGCTGCTGCTACCAGTTCACTTAGGCCAATAGACTCATTGCGATACCGCTGAGGCTCCTGCTTTCTCAGATGATCGAACCGTTTCGTGTGTCTTATAAAGGCAACGAGATTTCCAATGTTCTCTGAGGCCAACTCAGCCAGATGTCTAGGCTTGGCAGTGGTAGAAGTAGTGCTCGATGGTCTCCTCCTCTTCTTCGCCCCTACAGCCGCGGCAGAAATCGTTAGAGTAAAAGCCCATCCTATTCCCGTGAAGCCCAATTGAGCAGTGTCCAGTTATTATACCAGTAATTAGAAGGATAAGATGTTTTGATTTTTTAGCATCCAACTTCGGCATTAGCTCTGTGGTTACGTTACACGTGATCTCGTTCAACCATCTTGAGTCAGCTTCTGTAGTAAAAGCCAGTTTAAGCATGTACTTTGCTGTATGTTTTATCGTGGGTAGAAGGGTTCCTTCCTCTGCTAGTTCGTTTGCCATGCAATTGCCTCGGAGGTTCCTGCATCCAGGTACCCAGACAACGGCCGTGTTATATTTAGAAGAGAGTTTGTTGAGATAGTTCCTTTATTTTATGTCCACTTTTGAATATATTGTAAACGATTGTTCTGCTGCTGTAGATTTATGCAACCAATCAGCGGACTCCATGATTGCAAAGAGTTCCGCCGGGATAACGCTGCAGTGGTCTGGTAGTCTCATGCTCATGTTCAATGAGAGCGTGGGAAAATATATGCCGCAGCCGACTTTTTCATCAAGCCTCGAACCATCTATGAATATGGCAATGGCTCCCTGATCTTGGCTTTGGTGGTTGCCCACTCTCACATGTTTGGGATTCGCGTAGAGAAACTATTTTCGAAGCACATGCAGGAAGGAGGTGTAGTCTAACTCCTTTGGCACTTCTGCTAGAGATAATATTTTGGTGTGTCCTATACTGCAAATCTTCTAAGGTTTAGCAGCTTACCCGTATAGGTCCAGAGGAAGGATATTGAGATGAGTTAACAGGGCTTTCGAGAGGGTAGATGGAAGTGCCGCTGTTACCAGGATCGTTGAACGCTCTCTAGTTTGTCATAAAATTGATACGGTCCTGTAAACGTAGCTGTGGCTATTTGATTGATATTATTTTCCATTAGTAATGGTTTATCTTTCTCCCTACATCGAAAGAAACTTTTCATCATTTCACTAAACAAATTTCATTTTTTTTTGAATATCACAATAATATATCTCATTGAAAGTCCCTGTACTTAAAATGCCCTATACGAGTAAAATGGCGGCAGCAAAAGCTGAGTAGTTAGTATTGCGTACGGCCATCCTGAAGTCCATGATTCCAGTGCTGGCTAGACCAAATTACGGCTGCCACTCGGTAGAGAATGTAAAGTCCTCCAAGTGTGTTACCGACCTTAAATAAAAGCTCAACATAAAAATCCATCAGCCGTTCAAAGGCGGCTTAAGATAAACTGTAGATCGCTCCATTTGTTGGAACAACATCAAGACGCAAAACCACTAATTGGAGGAGGAGCTCGGCCGAGTTAAATAAAATAAATAAAATTAATTTTTTATAATTTGGAACGCAGTACTAATCGCTCTGCTATTTTGGCTAATATTATGAATTGCTTCTAACAAAATCACCCTTTCTTTCACTAAAAACAAAGCATGAAAATTAAATAAACAAGAAAAGAGACTGTAAAATAGTGGAAAGCTGCCTGTTGTCTGTTGCAGACACATTACCGCTGATCTAGCCCTCGAGCTAATTGGCATTGGTAATTGAATTTAAATTTAAAATACAATTTGTATTTATTTTTGCCATTTAACATTTTTTGTTAAACTTTTACTTGTATTTGTTGTGCGATTTAACCGCAAATCGATGCAGATGTGTATGTTTGTTGCATTTTGTGTTTCTATAATGTTGCAATTAGTACGGCAACATTTCCACATGTCTCAATTGGCAATTGATTGATTTCTTCTGCTGACCGGCTATACGAGTCCAAGCGACTTGAATTGAAATATTTGTTTTTTGGTTCTTTTTTTCGCATGCAAATTTCTGCGGCGTTCAGGATATGTTATAATAATTTAGTGAAAAAAAATAATATATCAAAAGGTCAAATAAAATGAAGCAAAATAAAGTAAAATAAAATAAATTGAACCAAAATAAAATAAAGTGAAATAAAATTAAATAAAAATAATAAAATAAAATGGAACAAAAAATAAAATATCACAAATTTAAATAAAATAAAATAAGATAAACTGAAATAAAATAAAATAAAACGATAGAGAATAAATTGAAATAATAAAACAAATAAATAGAATAAAATAAACTAAAATAAAATAAAAATAAAATCAAATTAGAATAAATGAAAAAAATAAACTCAAATAAAGTAAAGTATAATAAAATAAATTAAACTTAGATAAAAAAAATGAAATGAAATAAAATAAAATAAAATAAAATAAAATGAAGTAAAATTAAATACAAATAATAAAAGAATATGGAACAAAAAAATTAAATATAACAAATTTAAATAAAATAAAACAAGATAAACTAAAATAAAATAATATAAAAAAATAAGACGATGGAGAATAAATTAAAATAAAATGAAATAGCAAAAAATAAATAAAATAAAATATCACAAAATGAAATGAAGTAAAGTCATATAAATTAAGATAAAATGCAACAAAATAAACTAAAACAAAATTAAAAATAAAATAAAATAAAATAAAATAAAATAAAATAAAATAAAATAAAATAAAATAAAATAAAATAAAATAAAATAAAATAAAATAAAATAAAATAAAATTAAATAAAATAAAATAAAATGAAATAAAATAAAATAAAATAAAATAAAACAAAATAAATAAAATAAAATAAAATAAAATAAAATAAAACAAAATAAATAAACTAAAATAAAATAAAGTAAGGTAAAGTCAAATATAAAAAAAATAAATAAAATAAAATATAATATAACAACAACAAAATAAACTGGAATAAAATAGAGTAAAGTAAAATTTGAAAAATTTAAAAAAAATAAAAAAATATTAATTAAAGTAAAATAAAATTAAATAAACAAAAATAATAAAAAATGGAACATAAAAATTAAATATGATAAATTTAAATAAAATGAAACAAGATAAACTAAAATAAAGCAACATTATATAAAATAAGGCTATAGAAAATATATTAAAATAAAATAAAATAACAAAAAAAAATAAAATTAAGTAAACTAATATTAGACAAAAAGAAACGAAATAAAATAAACAAAAATGAACTAAAATAAAGAAAAATTAAATAAAATAAATAAAACAAAATAAAAAACTTAAAATAAAATAATTAAATCGGAATAGAAAAATAAATTCAAATTAATTAAGTAAATAAAACTAAAATACTCGTAAAGTAAAATAAAATAGAACAAAATTAAAAAGTTAAAATAAAATAAAATAATTAAATCGGAATAGAAAAATAAATTCAAATTAATTAAGTAAATAAAACTAAAATACTCGTAAAGTAAAATAAAATAGAACAAAATTAAAAAGTTAAAATAAAATAAAATAATTAAATCGGAATAGAAAAATAAATTTAAATTAATTACGCAAATAAATAATAAAATAAGTAAAGAGAAACAAAAAAATATTGATTAAAATTAAATAAAGTAAAAAATGTATTAAATTTTAAATCAAATATTAAAACACCTAAAATAAATAATAAAGTAAGGATTTAAGTTAAAGTAATAAATCAAAATAAAATTAAATAGATAACTTCAAAAATTATATATATATATAAATTTATTATGGAAAATGGAATTCAATTTGTTGAACTTTCTATATATTCTTAATTAAATAATAAATGATCGTTTTTATTTGCAGAATGCGAAAGATGCAAAATAAGCACAAAAAGGTTAAACCTCAACAAATTCTGCAAAAGAGATTACGGTAAGTATATTGGTTTTCTTCAAATTAAGTTTAAGAAAGCTTTGAAAGCGTATAAAAATTGTTTTCAAAATAATTCACACTAGTGAGAATACGTAGAAAAGCACATCTGAGAGTTGCCTTAGTTCTTAGAAAAAACTGTTTATTCCTTTCTTACATCACAATAATTTGCATAAGCCTCAACAACAACTCTATTTTACCTTAGCAATAATGGCGAAAGTGATTGGCCGCGAAGCGAGTACCGAAGTAACGAGCAGCAGCGAACAGTACACCAAAGAAAATCAACAAACGGATCCCGACGACGAAATGGAAACAATGGAGGCCAACACACCCGAAACGGTCAAATACGATATACAAATACAGGCGATCTTCAAGCGTACACCGCTCGAGTACGCAACAACGAATACAATCCTAAAACGGGGACCTTTGACTTGGATCATACCGATTAAGAATCTAGAATGTCGTTGTCCCAGAATCAAAATGAATCGGTGAGTGTGAGAGGGAAGACAAAAAAAAACAATAAGAAAAAATTATAGAAAATAATTAAAAAAAAAATGTTTTTATTTCTATTATTTTGATTGTTAATTTTTGTTGTTGTTGTTTCTGCTGCACAGCTCCTATCTGATACTGGGCAAAGATTCGGAATCGCCACCGGGCTATCTTGGCATCGGTCCGCGTTCCATTGTGATCGAATGGAAGGATGAATGGTATAGACGTATGAAACGCTTTCAGCGACGTGCGCGAACGTGTCAGTAAATTGAAAAATATCATAAAAATCAAATTAAATCATATTTTAAATGTATTTGTATTTATAATAATTATTAAACAAATAAAACTTAATAATATTGATAATGATAATTTGAACTAGTTCTTAAGGCATAAAACCACTTAAATGCACGCAAAATCGAATAAACTGATTAACACAAGGACACGTGCACACAACATACATACATACATGCCTATGTACATTTATGTTATGTATGTGTGCTTTATATTTGCAATAAATATATTTATATACGTAATCGTTTGCATCTGAATAAGCGTAATAATTTTTTTCCTTGCTTAAGAAAATAAATATAAAATAAATTTTCTCAATTTTTTATTTAATCTTATTTTTTACAATTTTTTATAAGTTTTTATAATTTTTGTAAAAATGTAAGTTCAGCAGTGGCAATAATATGTGCTATTTTTATACATTAAAGTTTTCATAAATATTTATTTAATATGTTTTTATTGTAAATTATTATTTTTTAAATTTACAATTTCATAAAATTAATTTTTATAACAAAGAATATAAAACTATTATATTTATGTGTCTAAAATTTTGGGAGGATATTGTATTAAATATTCATTTCTAACTTTTGTAAAATATTGCTAAAATAATAATTTAACATGTATCTATATAATTTTTGTTTGTATTTTTCGAAATCATTTCATATCTGCCAAAACAATTTTATTAGTAAATACACAAAAAAATAACCAAAATGAAAATATTTTTACAGTTAACGCTTAAAATAGAAAATAAAAATCGGAAAAGCTCCGCAACTCATGAGAAAGTTTATATGGCAAAAGCACAAAAATATCTTGAAAAATATTTTTTATTTGCGCGAAGCTCTTTTGTAACGCTGAAAAGCTAATTAAGCTGTCGTAAAAATGTATTATTTTAAACGAAAAGCCAAAACAGTTTTGAAAAGCTTCCACCAAAAATCAAAATGTCATTTAATACATAACTAAATTTTCGACCGTCATTTAATGTTACAAATTTATTTTGATTCTACTATAATTTCCAAATACATAAATAATTTTCGACCATATACTTCTACAACTTTAAAAGCTTGCCTAAAACTTTCGAAAATGCTCAAAAAATCATCATTACCTTAATACAAAAAACTTTTCTGGACCACAAAGCCATAAAGGCTTAGGCGACGGTATTACTTTCAAAAAAAGTTTAAATAATATACTGAAATTTTTTTGTATAAGCTTAAATCCAAAGTGCCAAGGCTAGTTTTTGTTTTATAAGATTTGTTCAATCTGAAAAACTTTCGTAAAATATGTTATTGATTAAAGTAGTGAATATGTACAGAAATACGCTTTTAAAATTTGAGCTTTCAAAAGCTTTCGCGCAAACAAAAAACATCACAGCTTAAATAAAGAAAAAAAATCTTATGTTTTTACAATCAATTAGAACTTTTACATGTCCAAAGAGCGGAAATGAAGTATAAAAAAAAGTTTACCAGCAGTGAAAAGAAAGCTCTAAAAGCTTTTGTATTTAAAATTTGCTTAGAATGCCAACATTAGCTTAGGCAGAAAGGCTTAAAGAACCAAAAATTGCAAATCTCAAAGCCCAGCTTTTATATATGCTTAAAGCTTTTAAAATATTACCAGTTTCAAGCAAAAAAAAAACCTTTTACCGTATATAATAACAAGGTTTTTTAAGGGACGAAATCATTATCTCGAAAATTCGACTTTCGTACGCAGCTTAAGTTTAAAGTTAATAATTTTTTTAATAAATTAATAAAATTTGTACAATTTTGTGTAAATTAAATAAATAGTATGCTTTTAAAAGCTGTTTAAGCTTTTTCTCCTACAATAAACATTTATTTACGCAGCTTAAATCTTAAAAAATATATATTTTCTTAAATCAATTGAAAATGTTCGAGCTTTTAAAAGTCCAATAACTTAAGAAGAAGCAAAAAAAATAAAAAATTTTGTAGTTAAAATGAGCTTTTGTCATTTTAATTTAAAACTTCGTTTAGAATACCAACATTTGCTTAATGCAAGAAGTGTAAAATATAAAAATTAAAAGACCAAGGCTTTCGAAAGCACAAAAAGCAGCTTTTGTAACAGTTAAAATTATTTTGGCACTTGAAAAATGTAATTTATTTTCGCATTTAAAAACACTTTTGAGGCAATTTTTTGTTCATTATTTAAACAAAAAAAAAACTTATGAAATTACTTTTTGCACACCTTCAAGCAAACAAATTTCATGCCATACATTATGCCATAACTAAGTATTTACACAAAAATTTGTTTTGTATATTTTAACCAATCACAAAAAGATCCTACATACATAGCAAGCATAGAAAACAGCAAACTTAGTAAAATAAAAATAAATATGTGAATTAACAAATAGAACAAGAACAATAAACAATGCGCCAAGAAATTACCTAAGTAATTTAAAAAAAAAAATATATATATATATAAACTGTAAACTTTAAATTATAAAAAAATCATATGACACAACTAAACACAAAAAATAAAAATAAAAACATACTTGCAATATAAACATAAATAAATGGCAACCAAAATCAAATGTATGAAAAAGCAATAATGTTTAACACACCGCACAATAAAAGTATTAAATATTTAAATTAAATTTATGTACTTAAATATATTTACATGTACTTGTGGTCTGTACACTGTGAGCAAACACAAGTATATGTAATAACGTAAAATAAAAAATAAAAATGGAAAAATCCAAAAAAAAAAATAAAAAAAAAAATAATAATAATAATAAATTATATAAATATTGGAAAATATTTTTAGCAAATAGTTTTATTATTCTTAATATAAATATGTATAAGTGTGTATTTAAAATGAAAAGTATAAATAAATATTATCAAGAAAAAAAAACGCACAATTCGCTAAATGCTAAATATTAATACTGAAAAGCTGAGTCGGTCATATTTTATTTTTTTATGTTAATTTTTATTTTTACAAATGTTAACATAGAATTATTTATTTAACCCTGTAAGCGTATTAAAGCTAATAAAATTAAAAGTTAATTTAAACAAAATATGCAGCAATTTAATTCATTTCATAATTTTTTTATAATTAATTTAGTTTAACACAATAAAGTTGTATTGGCATGGGAACTATGCAATTATTTAAATTTTTTTTTGTTTCTATTAAACAATACAATGTGTAATATTTTCTACAGTGTTAAAATGCTTGACAATTTGCTCAAAGATGTTGATAAATATGTATGTTAGAAGAGCAAGAATGCAATTGTTGAAATTGCTTTCAATTGTTTCGTCACACCATTTGCACAAAAATTAAGAAAAAAAACCAATGGCATTACATAAAAAAAAATATAAAAAAAAATTTGAAAACGAAAATGTAATAATTTCATGTCCACAGCAAATAAATACATACATATATAAAAATAAAAAAAATATAAAAATAAAAAATAACTAATAAAAATTAATTATGTACAGTTGAAACTGAAGAAAAATGATTTTTTATTCAAAAAGCACATGGCGGGGTTTCCAATAAGAGGTGTTATTTTGTTTAGCCTGTTACTCCGGTAGATGTCGCTTTTGCAGCTGTAATTTTTTGACATTTGAGCTGTATAAAATACGCCAGTAATAAAAATAGAAAAATACTCGCCTCAACAACGCATTGCAATTATCAAATAATTCACTATAAAAATCATGAAAGCCTGACAGAGACGTTTCGAACAACTTCAAAATTTTTCGGTCGTCGTGAAGCAACTTGTTGGACCGTCATACAAAAGTCGGTGTAAAAAATTGAGCTGCCAGAACAAGTAAGTGAAGAATAAAACACGTGCACGTGTCGGTCAAGACGCTGATTTCGGGCTGCTGATGTAGCCCAAAGTGTTGAAGCAAGCTCAGGTTTGTCTAGTCCTCGTCCGTCCTTGGAACTGAGCATTTTACAAACGTCATTACGCCGTATTTTGCATAAGATTTGGGTTTTAAGGCCTTTAAAGTTCAGTTACTACAAGAACTCAAGCCGGCCGGTCATCAAGAACGTCGTTTTTTTGGGTTTTTGAAATGCGTGAGAATGATCCGGAATTTCATCGAAAAATCATCTTAGCTGATGAGACCCATTTCCTCCGCGACGTAGCCGTCAATATGCCAAACTGTCGCATCTTTCTTACTTTTTTTTTACTGACGTAGACACCGCTTGCGCGAATATAGCCGAGTTTAAAACATTACGCCACTCATGACCTAGCCGCTACTCTACTTCTTAATTTGCTGAACTAAGTCAATGTCGTCGTATAACTCGTACAGCTCATCGTTCACTCGTCTACGCTATTCGCCGTTACTAACTCATAGAGGACCGTAAATCTTACGAAAACCATTTCTCTCAAAAGCTCCTTACGCCGACTCATCAGACAGTTGCCATCGTCCGGGCCTCCTTAGCATATAGCAAGACGGAAAGGATGAGCGACTCGTAGAGTTTGGTTTTCGTTCGTCGGGAGAGGACTTTACTTTTCAATTTCCTTCTCAGTCCAAAGGTGTTATTGTTGGCAAAATTGATTCTGCGTTGAACTTCTAGACTGACATTGGCGTTGGTGTTAATACTGGTTTCAAGATAGAGGAAGTTATCTAAGACTTCAATGTTATGACTGTCAACAGTATCGTGAGAGCTTAGTCTCGAATGCAATGACTGTTTGTTTGATGACAGGCGATATTTCGTCTTGTCCTCGTGTACTACCAGACCCATATCCTCCGCTTCCTTATCCAGTCTGGAGACAGCAGACTGTCTTAGGTCAGTTTACAAAGCCATATAAGTTTTGCGGGGATATCAAATTCAGACATAACGGCGTAAAGGCAGCTCCTACTCGGGCTGTGAAAGGCGGATTTAAAATCGACAAAGAGGTGGTGGGTTTTGATCCTAATTTCACGGGTCTTTTCCGAGATTCGGCGCCTGGTGAATATCTGGTCAATGGTTCAACTGTCGAATATGGAGCTGGATAAGCCCAAGATTTATTATTAAAAAGACTATCTATACTCAACCGAGACCTTATCTTTTCGATAATTAGACTAGAGCAACAACACAAGCAACGAAACCATCGATCTTTTAAGGAAAGAATTTCCGGGCTTTGTTAGCTCTCGAAGAGGCGATCGCAATCGGACATCGGAATCTTGTGATTTATCACTCTGTGGCTTCTTCCTTTGGAGCCACATGAAAGATAAAGTCAACGTCGATATTCAAGACCTCAAAGGTGGAGTTTGTGAAACTATTAAGGGCATATAGCAGCCACTTTGCGAAACGGTCTTTTAAGGTTAGCTGATTAGTCTTCCGTTATTAATGGCATTGAAATAAATGTCCGTTAATTTATCTCCAAAAATTCCACGACTTTGACGCCAAGGTAGGCAAAGAAAGTATGGCAACTCAGGTTCCATGACGAAACATCACGGAATAGCCACCAAGCTGTCGTCGGAACGAAAAATAGTGCAATCAAATTGATCATGCTGTGATTGATGGAAGACAGGTCTCCAGTTTTCTAGATGTGCGTATGTTTTTAGAACCTTACAACGACTCAGACCAATATCTTATCATAGCGAAGATACGCACCCGCCTCTAATGCGGCGGCTAACAGAAGGTTTTAAGGCTGGGGCATGTAGGGACCAATGTGGTGACCGATTTTCAGAGCATACTTAGCGTATGGAGGGGACATCTTCCCAATAAAAGGATCGAACATTCCAGGTGCGGGGCCTCAAATCATGATCATTTAAATGTTTGCGGATCCCTCATCTGAGGCATGTATAATTTTTCGTTGGGTATGGTTCCTATGTGGTGGTCCCAAAGCGAGCGCGTAACCTCGAGTGAGCTTTGAGTTGCTTGTTTCATGTCAGATGCCCGATCGCAGCAGCATCTCCAGTGGACAGACGCTGTAATTAAATTTCAGCGGACCCTTGAACCTAATAAGTTGGACCCAAGGCTCCACACGGGTTGATTACCGCATCTTTCACCAGGGTTGCTCACGTTTCCAGGGTGCGCGACCAGCCCTATTACACCCCTGTTCTTACTGTCGAGCGGCAAACGCTGTTAGAAAACTTAATTTTCTATAATTTGGATGTTGGTTGAACCAGAACTCGGACCATGAACTTCCGAATAGCAGTACCTAATGCTAACTACTCGTCTACTGCAGGCAACAGTCAAAAAGTAGTAAAAAGAATAAAATGGATCCAAGATAAATCAAAAATGACTGAGATTAAAAGACACTAATGCCAGAAACATGTTTTTGGGCAAGAATTTTTCAGTGAAACCACTGTATAATGGAGGTGAGCTTAGATTATATGTTTCTCAAGAAACATGAAGACACATATATTTAATGTTATGGCCACATAATCCCACAAAAAATAATCCAGCAACGATAAATCGAACCATGAGTAATACTTCTGGGCGTGACAGAGATAGAGGAAGGTGAACTTCTTATGAAGTCTACTACAGCTCGTATTTGATTTGGATTTGTTGTTGAAGAGAGACTCCGATGCTTTCGCTGGAAATCGTCGTGTCGGACCGTTATGCGAGTAAGAGCTAAAAATTGCACAAAAAACAGTTTATAATCACTTGACGAGGGCAAAGGAGCTCTATACAAACATATATAGGTAGGAGAAAAGACCTCCATTTACAGCTACATCCAATGAAAACGGTTGCCAAGCCAGGATTTACGATCGAAAAGGTGAATGAAGTCTTTCACTTTGAGCTGCTCCCGGCCAATCGCCCGGGGCAAGAACAGAAAATTGTATTTCATCAAATTGTATATCATCAGCACTCGCCAGAAACTTCAAGAGCTCTTTTGGATGGCTCTTTTGCATCCACCTTCCAGTCCGGACCTCGCACCAAGTGATTACAATCAGTTCCTAACTACGCCGAATGATTTGGCTGTTAAAGAATTGACCTCAAGAGAAGTCTGTAAAAACCGAATGTCCAAATTTTATGTCCACCGGAACAAGGGTTTCTATGAGAGAGGCATAATGATAATACCTTCAATATGGCTAAAAGTCATCGAGCGAAACGGTGCATATTTGACCGAAAATTCTAACTATGGTCTTAACAAAGGTTAACTAAATACAATAAGAATGGATTACTTATATACGCATTGTCTTAGCATCGATTGGAGTTTAAGTGCCTTCATTTAGATACTTTTGACCCTACATTCTGTTCTCTCTTCTCTCCGAAAAATTTTCAAAATAATCAATACGTAAGAGAAACGCCTTAGACTAAAGATTGAAGGCTTCTTAGCTGTTGATACAACTTTAGGAGAAGTTTATTGTATTTTCGTTAAAAATAAATAAATATATTTTTGTTTTAGATTTCACAATAAAAAATAATAAAAAAATTAATATTAAAATATTTGAATTTTAAGGTTTGTACAGCATACCAATAAAAAACACCGCTAAAAATTTAAAAACTTAAATTTACATACATAAATGGTTGAGTCAAAGCTCGGGTTTATTCTCTGGAATCAATAAAAAAAATTAAAAATAAAAAATAAGAAATAAAAAGTAAAAATGAAATCAATATTCTCAATGAACCACAATTTAATCACAATATGGTTAGCGGTTGCATAATATTGGAGTGTTTGTAGGTTGTTAATGTCCATTTATGTGCATTTTATCATGAGAATGTACATTAATGATTTATTTACATTTCAAAACGCTAGTTGACCGTCCCAAAGACTGTAGGAAAAAATGTTCCCATATTTTAATTTCTCTCATTTATTTTTTTTTTTTTTTACTAAGGACTACAAATAAAATCATGCTAAAATTTTATATATGAAAAAATTGCAATTTCCTCGAAAGAAGAAATACCAATAAATGCATATTCCAATATCACTTTAACTGTAGGCAATATGCTAGCAAATACAAAATAAATTATGTACGCCAGCAATCGATTGCAGAGCATTTTATAATTAACGCCCAGAGCAAGCAGAAAACACATTCGGTTGGGCTGATAATTGTTTATTAAATTGAAAATAATTCAAAAGCGCGTGCATTAATCATAAAGTTTTTTTTTTATCAGCATAGAGTGCTAGCACAGATGGCTATCGGCCGCGACCAAGAGCAGCAAAGCTTTTGGTGGGGAAACATTTATACCAAGCAAAATTGAAAATTGAAAATTTCGTAAAAAAAAAAATAATTTGATCAATAAACCACGTTGCAATTGTTTGAATATATTGGTGAAAATGCCACCTAAAGTGGTTACAATATATTGGTACACCGACAAACCCTTATCTATTGGCTTGTCCATCGTGCATCGTGCACCGGAGCACCTGAACGTTCCGCAATGGTGTAAAACACATCCGTTGCATTCATCCGGTTTCGCCAAACAATATGCAGTGATGCATTAAATTCACTTATGTGTATATATGTATGTATACAAACATTTAAACATGAAATGGGTTAATACTTTTATTGTTTTTTTTTTTTTTGTTGCTGCAATAAGCTCCGCCATGCCTATTTACTCCCAACTCCCTGAATTGCATAACGGTAATGAAATAAATCCATTTATTTGTTCATAATTTCCATAGTGACCACAACAATTGTCGTGCGAACAATGCTCCCGTGGCAGTAGCATGCAGCGGCAACATCTGTTGCCCATACCCCTTGTTATATGGCACAAGAGCTCACACTATCCTGAAATTCAACCAAATCCGCATCCACTGTGGTTTTCAATACATTTATTGTCATGTGTTTTACGCGTATTTTGTGTTTTCTTTAATTATTTGGTATTGCAAGTGCAGTTCTTGCATTAATTTCTCGTTTATATTCACATTGCGTTTCAAAATTGACAGCTAAGGATGGGAGGGTGGGCATTGAAAGCATTTGAGGACTTATGACAATCGGTAAATTACAAACAGTAAAGTAAAGTAAGTAAGTAAGTAAAGTAAGTTATTAAAAAGTAAAAAAGAATCAAATAATTAAAAAGTTTCAATCGAAAAGTAACTGATTTTTACTTCCAAACTATTCAATCCGTTACTAAATGTTATTTCTAATAATTTTACAATCTAAATAAATACTTTTGAGAACAAAGATAGTTTAATAGCAAAAATGTTTAGCACAACACTCCATTTAATTTCCGTGAAATTTAATACAACCGAAATTTATTGTATGATTTCATAGTAATCCATTCTGTAGAGTAACACTTTTGATTTTATGACTTTTTCCCAAATTTTCATACAAATTATTTATAAAATAAACAAACACGAAGCGTTTTATTACAGACTCGGCAGAGACGTCGCTCAGCGTCATTATAAATTATGATCTTTATCTGCTATTGCATTTTCATAATTTTGAAAAGATACCGAAGCTCGAAAAAAGCAACACTAGAAAATAGCATTTCGCCCGCACTATGCCAAAACTTCTATACGTAATTTAACACCAAACTTTAGAGCTTGCACACATTTGTACACTTTAAAAATATTTAATTAACACATTGCGTTTATAAAGAAAAACAAAGGAACCGGAAAAGTTACAAAAATATGCGATAACAATGACGCTGCGGAAACTCGAGTGATTTCTTTTTCACATCCTGACATTTCCGCCAACTAGCACAGCTAACAACCATTTTGGATTCTAATATTAGCTTTAATGATGCCGTATTATTAAAAGCCAATCAAACAATAAATAATGCAACGATTTTGCTAAATCAAAGAACGTATATGAAGAAGAAGCGACAAGGCACGTACGGTCTTTGTGCAAATGCAACAGACTCTGGAAAAAGAATTCGCGTCCTCTTCACACCATTTTTTAACAACGAATATGAATAAATGTTGAAAAATAAAGTAAATTCGATTTAAATTTTTGCTCTTGGCTGCAATGGAAACTATGAAGACAACTCTCCCCTGCGGCAAAGAACGTCTATTTATATACGTTCTTTGTTACCGCATTTGCACAAAGACCGTATGCTGCTCGTTTTCGCATAATATTGTCATCTGGCAAGACATATCTTTTGCTGTCAAACAACAAAAGACTAGAAAAGTGTTTAATACTGAAAAACGTAAAACAACAAAAAATTAAATGTGTGGCAATAGATTTATTTAATTCCATTGAGAACATAGAAATCAACAACTTACAAAATACAGAAAGTGTAATCAGAAAATTAGTCTTAGTTTCCTTCGCAATCAACAAAACGGCTAAAGCTGATTTGGAGTCGAGTAAACCTCTGGGATTGTGCGTGACGTCTGTTGCTTTTGCTGCCTAGGCAAAATAAAAGGTGACAAATGGCCGGGTCTGCACTAAGAAGGCTTATGGCGGAATATAAACGTATGTAAAGGAGATTCCAAAGTTCATTTATCTGGTTGACCAGTTACCAAATTCCATAATTTCCGCAAAATTACAAATATTTTTAGCTACTTACCACAAATATACATATGTACTTATGAATGTTCATTATGACTTTTACAGAGTTGACTCTGGACCCACCGGAGGGCATCGTGGCTGGACCTGTAAGTGAGGATAACTTCTTCGAATGGGAAGCACTGATAGCGTATGTACACCTTTTAACAGCTAAAGCGTGAAAAAAATAAATAATTTGTTAACATCACTTTTTTTATAATGTCCTCTCTATTGCAGCGGTCCAGAGGGCACATGTTTCGAAGGTGGCGTTTTTCCAGCTCGTCTCATATTCCCGCCAGACTATCCGTTGAGCCCACCAAAAATGAAATTCACATGTGACATGTTCCATCCAAACAGTACGTGAAAAATACGTAGAAAAAGTTTTTTTTTTTATAGAAAGACCTTATTTAATTGTCTCATATTTGTAGTATTTGCTGATGGACGAGTTTGCATATCAATATTGCATGCGCCTGGTGATGATCCTATGGGTTATGAGTTATCCGCTGAACGGTGGAGCCCTGTGCAAAGTGTAGAAAAAATTCTACTGAGCGTTGTTTCGATGTTGGCTGGTAAGTGTAAAAAAAAATATAATTATAATAATGATTTGCATAAAAATGCAGTATCTACTTCAGTATAGCAGTTGTCGACGAAAAAGTGAGACGTGCATATTTATATGAAAGTATTAGGCATGAGACTATTCTTGACATTTTTAATTGATGTCGCTATTTATATCAGTTTAGCATTAGTATTATAAAGTATTATGTATGTAAAGTATTTTGAGGCGTCATTTGTATTTCCATTAATAGAAAGTTGTTCATAGACAACTTTTGTGTGAACTTGCTTAACTTGGTAATAAATGTGCATGTACTTTTGCCTTTTTCTATTCTTACACTCAAAACAATCCTCCTTATGTAAAAAAAATTTGGTATTCAAATTCGTTTTACGTTTTTGCAGAGCCTAATGCCGAATCAGGTGCTAATGTGGATGCAGCTATCATGTGGCGTGAACGACGTGAAGAGTTCAACGAAATTGCCAAACGTTTAGTACGTAAAACGCTCGGTATACCAACATAAAACAGCCACTATAATAACTACGGCCGAAACGATGACGATAAATATGACACTGTTTTACTACTTCTTATACATCGTGAACAAGAGGTAGTATTACAAACAGTCGTCTACGATATCTTCATACACATACACACACGCAACAAAATCAGTTAACAACATCGAGCGAAAAATTGAATTGAACAAAGCTTCAACAAAACGCATGCCTCAAAAGCATATATTTGATTAAAGTCTTGAAATACATATAAATATGTATAAATATATATATTCATACCTATATTATGCTCGCAAATCGGTTTATTGAATACAGTTTTCTATGCTCTTAACATTTAAAAATTAAAAAAAATCTCCCTTTCGCACTTACACTGAATTGTATTTTTATGTCGGTTGCATTTTGTAAACGCCAGAGAATTGCTACTATTTTATATGTTGCATACTTACATACTCTTATATACCCACAAACAATAGTAAAATTAATAAGTATATAACACAATAGAAAAATCTGAATTATATAAAGTAAAATATGTAAATGTTTAAATTTAGATTAATACAATAAAGCATTAAAAGTAACAAAATTGTAGCAAATTTGCTAATTGAGAAATTTATATGCTTTGTGATGTCTATAAAATTATAACAAAATTTGTTTACAATAATAATCCTATGCTTAGGCTAAACTGTAGATAAAAGTATAACACTATACACTTTCACTTGCGCTATATTTGCTTTCACATTTAGGAAAAGTCTAATTTTTTGCAATTGTTTTTATATTTCAACTCGGTATTTCTTTTGATTAAGGAAATGAGAAACTGTAAATGTAAAACAAAAAAAACTTATTTTTGTGTACCTTATTTTTTCAACTACGACATTAAAGCATAGTAAATAAACAATTCTTAAAAAAAAAAACTTTTACTCAAGTTTTTGGTATTTAAGGTTAGACGTGTTTAAGTACTTAAGAAGTTTTTTATTGCGTAATAGCACGCCTTTGATTAAATTTAATCAGATGTTTGAAATGGAGGCACAATTTGAACGGAGAAAATTCTAGGTACAGCGAAACAATATTGCAGCTTAGTAACCACTGAAGCGCTTTTTCAACCGAGTTCTTGCTCCAATTTGTGCGCCTTAAAATACAACAAAATATTCTCTCTTGCGACATACATATATAACTTCTCCAATTTAATAAATTTTCCATAATTTGGTATGTTGGTCTCTTAGAGGAAAGATTTCTTTGAGATCATCAGTGAGGCCCTGGAAACTAGCTTACTATACACGCGGGTCTTTCTATGGGTCATCAAATGGCTTCAATCATTTTACTGGGTAAATCTGATAGACGTATATGACAAAAAGGGGATTCACTGTAATTTTTGTAAGAACATGAAATATAAGGAAATTGTATGAAAGAATTTTTAATGTGCTCATAATGCATACTTACGCAATCTAATATGCACAGCGGATATTAATTAGCTTGAGTTTCAAGAATTTTCCCGTGGTAGCGTATGCCCATAGTAATAGACGAAAATCCAAATCAATTCCCGAATTTTCATCCAGCCAAGGACTATCACTCCCGCCATACATTCCGAAAACCATTCTGGGGAAAATTTATGCTGTTACTACCACAACTACAAATTTAAAATTGCCATTTGCCTAAAACGCTGCGACATTTCCTGCTCAACTTATTTATGAAAGTTACTTAACTATTTATTCGCATACCGAATATTATGTAAACTTATTAATAATTATATATTATTTTTCCTCAAATACCCTACTGAAATCTTAATTTATGCAATTTACCAATAAAATGTATTTCCGTTTCTCCTTTTCATGCCATTTCCGCTTTGAATACTTGTCAAATCAAACGCCATTGACGTTTGGCTTCCGCCCAACGAAAACAAATAACAAACAGCAGTTGGCAGCAGTGTCATTTTGACAGCCACAGTAGCATTTTAGTCGAATACTGAGCTTCCAATTAGACAGTTTCATTGTTGGTGTGTGTTAAAGAGTGTGCGAGTATCTTGCTAACTCGCAGATACTGTGGAAATAAATTTTTACACCTAAACCGAGGTATAACGCAACTCGGTAATTGTTTTTCTTTTCGATTTTATGCTTTTTGTACGCTTATAAATCGCAACAATATATAAAGTGATAAATAGTTTGTGAAGCGTGTAAACTTTTCTTTAGCAATAACAAAAAGGTATGTTAATACTAAATCAAAACGAAAAAATAGTTGAGTGAGTTTAAAGTTGAAATACTTGTGAAATCATAAAAACTTAGTGGACGTACAGGCGGTGCGATTGATAATCAAACGTTGGAAGGGAAGGTGGATGCGTTTTTTAAAGCATTCAAGCATACAAACATATGTATGTGTATATATCGTACATATATGCATATGTTTGTACAATACATATGAACGTGTATGATTCATTGAACGAATTCGAAAACGGTTAGCTAAGTTGGCTGCTTGCCTGTCTGCCTGCACTCTTTGCTGCCCTCGTTTTTAGGTCTATCGGTCGAAGGTGTAATAATAATTTCTTGGTTAGTTGGCTGCTACGCTGGCTAAATGCTCAGAAAACAATTGTTTGTTGTACCCACCAAACCCATTCAAGGTTCAGTCTTTTTATTAACATATTCGCTTGTACGTATATATATATATATATGCGTGTACGTAAGTAAATGACAGCATAAATCACGTATAAAGTGAATTACTTAATTTTTTTTTTAGCGATGAGCTGTGCTAAACAAAATCTTTCTGCCAAATCTAGCTAATTGAATTAAGAATGTAGATCTTAATTTCTTTTAATAATAAATTTAATAACGCGCTTTGCACATAGTGTTAAATAAATAAAACAAACAAAAAATATCTACGTTGGAATTTCATCGACAGCTGCTGCTGTTGCTGCTGGCATTGCGGTTAAATAGTGATTACCACATATTTAATGGCTATCTATGTATCTCAAATATTTACACATACCTACATACATGTGCATGTATATATTGTAGTATATGTATTTATTTATATTTACTATCTATGAATATTCGTACCATAGCGCGTACTGTCGGGCGGAACTGCGTACTTTGCAGCGACGACTCGCTTGGTTAGGTAATTAATGAAAAGCAAATGAGACGCCGCAGCGGTGACGGGAGCTCCCTGTCTGCTTGCTTACGGCGCGGGTTAACGATGAGACGGTGGTATACCTCATAAAATAATATATGCACATAGATACAGGTATTTTTTGTATATATGTTTGTTTGTTTGACTTGGCAGTCAGAAATCACTAAAATGCATATATGTAAGTATGTGCGCCAACGCTACACATATATATACATATATATATATATATTATATATTTATATTAGGTGGATTTGTTGCCAGAAATATAGCCGGCCACACGTCGTACAGCATTACACACCCATATTTCATATATTTACATACATATATACATGCATGCTGTACGCAGTTCTAGATGAAACAAAACGCGAATTTGACAGCGCGCAATAATTTATGTGTATTGTAAACAAAAGCGTTTTTATTGCCAAAGTTTTAATAACAAAAAAGAAATTGCGTGCAAAAAACAATGTGGGCTTTTAAGAGTAAACGCTAAACAATTTTTTGTGTTTGTGTGAAATACATATATATTTTCTTTACAAAAAATAAATTCTATCAACATAATATCTGCTTATAAACAAAGCTTGTTGTTTAGTGGAATATGTATGTATGTATTTAGTATTTTTCTCCACTGTATGCGGCCATTAACCAGAGAGAAGAAATGGAATTTCCTGGAGAATGCCAGCAAAAAGTGAATTGTTTAGATTGTTTATAATTTCGTTTCAATTTTCCAAATATAAAAAACGCATTAGAAAAATAATCAGTAATAACTTAAAGTAAAATTTATGAATAATTTCGAAAAAAAAATTGTTTCAAAATATAATAACAATGCAATACAAAAAATGTGCATACACGTGTATAACAAAAACAAATTGGAAAATGCAACATTAGCAAAATTGACTATAAACAATAAAAATGAAATATGATGGTTGTATATAATAAAAATATATATGCACATATGTATGTAGCAAGCAATATTGCGAAACTATTAAAATATTTTATCAGCACAAAGTGCATAGAATAAGTTTGTTTAGAGACATTTGTAATATATGAGACTTTTAGTTTGGTGTTTAGAAACCATTAAACTAGGCAAGTGTTTACATAAAAGTTTTCCATAATTTATTGAGTTGCCCCAAATGAAACCGGCGATTTTTCTTTAATAAAGCAAATAATTTTTTTTTTTTTTAATTTTATAATGAGTTTTAATCAATTATGTAATTTCCATTTTGTTATATGACCGTTCGCCATCTTTCCGGCTACATCATTATTGCACATTCATAGAACTTCTGGTCTTTATCTGCCAAAAAATGAACCAAGTGCGATTTTATAGCCTCGTCATATTCGAAAATTATACCAATTAGTGAGCTCTGCAAAGATCGAAACAAATGGTAATCTAACGGTGCAAAGTCAGAGCTATATGGTGGATGTATCAACAGTTCCCAGCCAAGCTCTCTCAGTTTCTGGCGAGTGGCTAAAGACGTGTGCGGTCTAGCTTTGTCCTGGTGGACACCTGAGACCTTTACGATTGACCAAATCTGACCGCTTCTCCTTGATGACTGTATTCAATTTGTCCACTTGTTCACAGTAGAAATCCGTATTAATTGTTAGGTTCCTTGGAAGCAGTTAAAAATAACCCAAACCTTTCCAATACAGACAGCATATTCTTTTAGTGAATATCAGCCCTTGAAGTCGTTTGTGGCGCTTCATCATGCTTGTACCAAGCTCGTTTTGGATTGACGTTATCGTAAACAGTCCATTTTTCAGGTCAAGTTGTGATTTGCTTCAAAAATTGGTCATATTCATTACGTTTAAGATGCATATCACAAATATAAGGTTTTTTTTTTACCAGTCCAAGACATCTTATATGTATATTATCTATTATGAACGGTTTATTTTGGTACACTTAACTTCTCTCCAATCTCACGCTCAGTTACATGACGATCCAATTCGATTAATGCTTTGATTTCGTCATCATCAACTTGATTTGGCCGACCTGAACGTGGCTTATCTTTGAGTGTAAAATCCCCCGAACGGAATTTTACAAACCAACTTCGTACTTTTTTCCAAAGCAAGCTAAAAGTAACAGCTTACAAGTGTCAAAAGAAGAAATACAATTGAATAGTCACAAACTGTTCAAAAAAATTGTCATCGCCGTCTGTATGAAAAATCACAGATTTCTTTTGTGGCAACCCAATATGTGGGGCTTGGGAACACAAATAACTACAATCGATGATTCGTTTATGCGGAAAGTCAAAATAAAAAAAAAAGTCTTTCTATCCCTATTTTATACTAATTAGCTTACATATAGAATTACATTCATAGTCTAATTAGAAAACTACATATGTACATACATATGTACTTAAGTAAGAGCATACACATTTCTTCAGGCCTAAGTTTTCCAATACCCGCTTGGTTTACAGTGAAATTTGTGAAATAACAACTTTGCTGACGTATTAACATATGTACATACATATGTACTGATGATGTAAACAAATGATTTGTCATCAGATTCAAAATATGTAATAAACATATTTTTCATAATTCTGCGTAAATTTTTAATGAAAAATAAAGCGTTGCAATTAACTTTGGCTTAATCATGAATTAAAATAAAATTGTAAAACAACAATTTCAAATCCGCAATCTTCACTGTCAAAACCGGTGGAAAAATTCGATCTGCTTGAAAGCACCTCATTCATGGACGTCATAACCTAAAAGAAACGTAGAAAAATTAAATGTATTCAACAATCCACGCCATGGATGTGTATGTTGCACGGTTATTTTTAATAATAAACCTATTTTCCATAACATATCTGAGCTTCTCAAGGGTTTTATTACTAGTGGCTAGTAGTTTGTTCGTATGAACGCTTTCGTAAGCGTAAAAGTGAAGGTATTTTTAGTAAAATATCATAAATATTATTTTTTTAAGCGCGAAAGACGGCTGTAATGATTTGACTTGATTGGAATGTAGTTGTTATTGCGCCTAAATGCACGCAATGATTTCCATATCGTTTTTGTAATTTTTACAACCAATGAAAAGTGTTTAAAATAATCATAAATGCGATAAATTTCTGATCATAAATAAAGCTTTTATCAAGGAAAATGAGAAAGTAGCCGAGACTTTACTTGGTGAGTTGCTTATTACCTTTGTTTCCGATCAGATTCGTATCAGTTCAGAGTCATATTTTCGCTTTTTTGTACAATGAAAACACGTTTAGAACATTTCGGTAGAGTCACAAAATCTCTTTTTAAGTTAAATTATTCAACCGCATCTTAGCACACGGGTAATAATGAAAAAGTCTCGGTGGTTTTTTTGTATATTTCTGAAGAAAAAATTTTCTTATTGAATTTAATGTTAATTTAATTTAATGTCCTATTGAGAAATGTTAAAGCTTCATAATTCCATCAGCGTAGAACAACTGTAGTTTACCGGCGAGGAACCAAATGATTTTCAGTGGGTCTGTGGTCGATCATTTTTTTTTTCATGAAGATAATTTTCGAGAGACCGTAACGAATGGTAACGGCATTTCCACGATAGCCCAATTACGTGTTTCGCACTCTCAGTTGTAGTACGCACTCCAAATACATGCTGAACATACAAATCTTCGTGAGAACTGTCAAATGGCGCGTCGTGGGTATGGGGGAAGTTCAAACTCGTAACTGAGCGGACGAACAATGTATTTCACGATGCCGTGGAAAAGCCGTATTAGATGCTTTAAGGTACGAGCATCAAAACTATTCAAACAGGCGCTGTCACCTTTTACTTGGTAATCAAAGATGTATGTGGTCTTTCCAACGGAGTGGAGGTCTTCCTCTTCTTTTGCTTCCAGCGGCGGATACTGCATCGAAAACTTTCAAAACTGGAATATTCGCGTCCACACGGATCACATGACCTAGCCAGCGTAGCCGCTGCTTCTTGATTCGCTGAACTATATGACTGTCGCCCTATAACTCGTACAACTTATCGTTCCATTGTCTGCGGTATTCCCCGTTGCCAATACGCAAAGGACCATAAATCTTACACTGAACCTTTCTTTCGAAAACTCCTAACGCCGACTTCTCGGATATTGCCATCGTCCATGCTTCCGCAT